TGTTTCAATAAAGGACTGAAGCATATGGTGCTCCTAGAGCTCGTCGTCCACATCTCAAATATTGTTTGCTAGTTAGAAGATGTAGTTCATTGTTTCGTCCTTAAAGTAGCATGAGAAACATATACGACACGTTGTTTCGTTAGTCCTAAAAACTCCAAGAAAATAGATATCTAAGGGAGCTCGACTTTGTTTTTATTAGTTGTGGAGAGATACGTTAAAGGGCACTCAATACACCCATGCCATTGTTAGGGGAGGGTGGTCAAAGACATTGATCCAAATAAATGCGAGCTCCGAGTAATCGTACTCAATATATGGAGTCTAGATTCAAGCTTACAAATAATATAAAACTTTAAATCATTTTCAACTTAAGACTTCTGGCGTGGTCCCAAGTGGATTGGCACGTGATTCCTAAGGTACGAATCTCGATTCCAAATTGATGGGACAACGATTCCAACAATATAGGAATCAAAATTCCTTTTCTATCGGATCACGATTTTAGATGGTATTGATCGAGATGGATTGATGTGTTATTCCAGAAATGTAGGGAATTCGATTCCAAATTGATGGGATGCTGATTCCAGCACAATAGGACACGCGATTACTATTTTATTGGATCTCGATTCCGATATATTGGGAATCATGCAACAAGTGATTTGCATGGGATAGACGACAATTCTGACTATGCGAATCATCTAACATCGACGATTCTGTGATTTTGATTTCTGAAATGATTTAGAATCACAAGCGTTTCCAACAACTATAGGCATTTGGTCCATTATCCATTTAAACTAGGCACTATGATGCCCATAGAGTTTTTATTCCAATTGGATCTATGTTGGCTTTCTATCCAAATTAACTGGTTTGTTGTCTGTTGAGTTGGGAGGGAATCTTGAATACAACTATTATGTATAAAGTCTTATATACAACCATAATGTATAAGTGGGTCATTTGAATTATAGGAAATATCTCGTTGAGGTGCCATTTGGGCATTTAACTTTTTTTACTTCGTTCAGAAGTGAAAGAAGCTTTGAAAAGGATGAAAATAGGAAAGGCTGTAGGACTAGATGGTATCCTGATAGAGGTTTGGAAATGCTTGGCGGAGATTGGCATTACCTGGCTGACCAAGTTGTTCAACAAAGTGTTGAGAAAAAAGAAAATGTTAGACAAATGGAGAAAACGTATTGTGGTACCTATTTACAAGAGACATATAGAATTATGCAAGCTATCGAGAGATCAAACTTATGAGCCACACCAAGAAACTAGGGGAGAAAGTGACTGAGCCATGACTAAGGCATGAAACGAGTGTATTAGAAAACCAGTCGGTTTTATGCCAAGGAGGTCGACAATTGAGACTATTTTCCTATTTAGGTAATTGATTGAGAAGTTTAGAGTGAATGGAAAAGACCTCCACATGATCTTTATTGATCTAAAGACAGCTTATGATAGAGTACCTTGATATTTGATTTGGTGGGTTTTGAAAAATAAATGAGTCTCCATACACTACATCAACTTGGTGAGAGATATGTACGATGGAGCGCTAATTAGTTAAAACCTTGAGGAGGAATTGTAAACAACATAATATTAGGAAAAATGATAGAGTGAGGTGATTTTTCGTCTAAAATAAAGGAGGGAACATGATTTATCAAATAACAAGAGTCGATACAACATCGCCTTATGAACTCGTGGCACATGCATACATAACAATCTGACATAAGTTACTTCTATTATATGGCGAATTTTCCTCTTTGCAATCCCATTTTGTTGCGTTTATAAATTTTTCTTCTTTCTAGCATAATTTTGCGTTATCACTTTCCTCTATTTATTCTATTTATGTATCTATGTTCCATATCATGAAGCTCTCCCATACCAGGTGGAAGAGAGCAACGGATGAGGAAATGACAACACTTCAATCAAATGGCAAATGGGAGCTTATTGATCTAACAACATGAAAGAGACCTATTGGATGTCATTGGGTTTATACAATTAAATATTAGCCAAATCGATCTGTGAAAAGGTTAAAGGCTAGGTTGGTGGCAAAGGGATATACACAAATTTTTTGGTATTGATTACTCTGAGACATTTCTCCAGTTGTCAAGCTCAATTCCATTTGTCTGCAGCAACCAAAAAGAGTTGGCCATTGTGGCAACTTGATGTTAGAAATGTCATCCTTCATGGTGATTTCCAAGAAATGGTGTATGTGGATCAACCACTAGGATTTGTTACTCAAGGGAGTCAGACAAGGTATGGAAATTGAAAAAAGCAATTTATAGTTTGAAGAAACCCCCATGTGCATGGTTCGAGAAGTTCAGTGAAATTGTCATATCATATGGGTTTTCACGGAGCCATATGGATCGTTCAATATGTAGTGGTTCACGTTAATAATATCATCATTATAAGCAGTGATTAGGAAGGAATTAATAAATTAAAGGGATATCTACAGCAACATCTTTAGACAAAAGATTTGGAATAGCTTAGGTATTTCTTGGAATTGAAATAGCCCGGTCTAATTATGGAATTGGTTTGTCTCACAAGAAGTACGTAACAAATTTGTTGACAGAACCATAGATTTTGGGTGCTGAGCCAGTTGATGCACCTATAGATCCAAGTATTAAAATATCAACGAATCATTGAGAGTTGTTTGAAGATCCAGGCAGGTGCAAAAAGCTTGTAGGTAGACTTATCTACGTAACAATTACTCGGCCAAACATAACTTTTGCAGTGAGTGTAGTGAGTCAGTACATGCATTTTCCTAGGACACCACACTTGGAGTCAATGAGGAGAATCTTGAGATATCTTAAGGGGTTTCCAAGTGAAGGACTTATTTATAGGCAAAATTGGCATCTTAGCATTGGGAAGTTTTTTTTATGCTAATTAGGTAAGATCTCCATCCGACAGAAAATCTACCACATGCTATGGCACTTTTGTTGGAGGAAAGTTGTTGGCATGGAAAAGCAAGAAACAATGTGGTACCAGGTGTAGTTTAGAGGCTGAATATTGTGCAATGACTCACACTACATGTCAGCTATTGTAGTTGAAAAACTTTAATATTGGCGATGGGATTCACAGTTATTGAGCCAATAAGGATGTTCCGTGACAATCAATTAGCCATCCATATAGCTAGCAACTCAATATTTCATGGGAGAACATAACATATTGAAGCATATTGTCATTTTATTCAAGGGAAACTAGCATGTGAGTAGGTAACTAGCATGTGAAGTATTTAACAAAT